AAAAAAAAAAAAAAAAAAAAATAAACAGCAGCAGCAGCTTGCTGCTGCAGTCTAGCTACGGTGTGAAGGGGGCCTTTACTTATCTGCTGCAGCGACAAACACAAGCAGAAGTAAACCCTAAACCCTAAACCCTAAACCCTAAACCCTAAACCCTAAACCCTTGGTTTCCTAAACCCTAGGGTTTAGGGGGTCTTTTATCTCCCCTCTGTCGCAGCCATTCTGTTCTTTTTGATACCCCTTTTCCTAGGGTTTAGGGTTTAGGGTTTTCTAGGGTTTAGGGTTTTCTAGGGTTTAGGGTTTAGGGTTTAGTGTTTGTGTGTTAGGCATTGGTGCGTCTGCTGGAGCAGCGTTTGAAGTACTATACTCAGTTGGATTTGCTGCAGCAGCAGCAGCAGCAGCAGCAGCAGGTGCTGCAGCAGCAGCAGCAGCAGCAGCAGCAGCAGCAGGGTTTATTTTCTTTTTTAGGGTTTGGGGTTTATAATATTGTTGATTTTTCTTATATAAAGAAAACCCTAAACACCGTTGAGGAGGCCATCCTCTTCTTTGCTGCTCATCAGCACTATAAAGATGTAGGCTTTATACTTTTTATTTATTTATTTTATTTTATTTTATTTATTTTATTTTATTTTATTTATTTTATTTTATTTTGTTTGGTTTTATCTATTTTATTCAGTTTATTTTATTTATTTTATCTTATTTATTTTGTTTTATTTTATTTTATTTTGTTTTGTTTTGTTTTGTTTTATTTTGTTGGTTGGTTTTAGGGGTTTTGTTGTTTGTTTTTGTTGTTTGTTGTTTCCTATTGTATTTATTATTATATTTATATTTATATTTATATTTATATTTATATTTATATTTATATTTATATTTATGTTTATATTTATATTTATTTTTATATTTATTTTTATTTTTATTTTATATTTATTTTTATTTGTTGTTTTGTTTTTCTTTTGTTGTTGTTTGTCTTTATTTATTTTTTTTTATTTTTTTTTTCTTTTTTTGTTTTTTTGTCTCTTTATCTGTCTCCTCTTCTGTCTCTCAATCTGTCTCCTTTTCTGTCTCCTCTTCTCTCTCCTCATTTATTTATGTATTTATTTTATTTATTTATTTATTTAGTTTATTTATTTTATTTATTTATTTATTTATTTTATTTATTTATTTATTTATTTATTTTACATATATCCTTCTCTGTCTCTGTATCTGTCTCTCTTTGTCTGTCTCCTCTCCCCCTACCTCTCCCGCTCCCACTCCCACTCCCGCTCCCGCTGCTGCTGCTGCTGCTGCTGCTGCTGCTGCTGCTGCTGCTGCTGCTGCTGCTGTTGCAGGCCGAAGCAAACCTGTGTGCGTATGAGGCCCAGCGTACGCGTTGCTTGTCTTTGCTGCTGTCTGCTGCACTGCAGCAGCTGAAGCACACAGAGGAGGTGCTGCAGGCTCGTTTGAAGG